GTCAGCCTGAACTGCATAGCGAGACCCTGTCTCAAAAAAAAAAAAAAAAAGAGAGAAGAAAGAAAGAATAACTAATACTGAATTCTAGTTAATAATATACTTGTGCTGTATTTTGAGTGACATGTGCTTGTATCTGCAGTCTACTTTTTTTTTTTTTTTTTTTCTTTGAGACAGGGTCTCTCTATGCAGTTCAGGCTGGCCTTGAGCTCACTTTGTAGCCTAGGCTGGTCTCGAACTTGCAAGGATCCTCCTGCCTCAGCCTCCCGAGTGCTGGGATTACAGGCATGTGCCACCACGCCCGGCTTGCAGTCTACTTTAAAATCCAACAGAAAAATAAACTGGATAGGTAGATGACAAGAGGGATAGACAAACAGCATGGTGGTACATACCTGTAATCCCAGCACTCAGGAAAATGAGGCAAGAGGAGCTCAAAGCCAGCCTGAGCTACATAGTGAGACTCTGTCTCAAAAAGACAAAACAAAAACGGGGCAGACACGTTTATGCCTGAATCTAGATGGTAGGATATGGGTGTCCACTGTAAAGTTCTTCAGACTTTATTGTATGTTTGATATTTTATGGGAAAAGTTGTGGGAGACAACAACACATAGTTGCAAAGTCAGTTTAAAAATATGGCATATGTCACTTAGCCCAGTTTCCTGCCTTTCTCTGGCTTGGGACCTCTGTGGCTTGATGTTGAACATGTGACTTTTCAGCCTAAGCAGATACACAGACATTTAGAGTGGTACTGTGCTCTCCTTTCTCCATGTGTGAATTGTACTACCTGTACTTTTCTCACCTCCCTCTGTTCTAAAGGTCATTCTGTGGCTGACCTGTTGTTAGACCACCCAGCCTAGAGTGGGTGCCTGAGAAGCACTGCTGCGGTATATGTCTCAGGTCCTATAGACAGGACCTGAGACTGCTGATGACAGGTGAATGCCAGTTAGGTACAGGGGTGTGTGTGGCTCCTAACAAGTGGATGAGCCTCTCTATGTTGCATAGATTGTGAGTGAGTACTGACCTGGTAGACAAGTGAGATCATAGAGTAGCTTTTGTGAGGTCTTTTGTGATGGTACATTCACAAAGTGATGCCAGATAGCAACAGAGACTCACTGGAGAGACCTGAGTCATCCAGCCTTTTAGATCAGTAGATGTTCTCGGTAACCTGGAGGCTGAAAATTGTGTTTTGTTTTGTTTGGCAGGGGGAGGTTGAGACAGGGTCTCACTATGCAGTTCAGGCTGGCCTTGAACTCACGGTGATCTCTTGCCTCAGCCTCTCAAATGCTGAGATTACAGGTACGGGCTACCATGTACAGTTTAAACTTTCAGTTTTATAGAAGGACTCTTTCATGGAGAATTTAAGGGTTCTGTTAAAATATAATTGAAAAAAATTGTAATAGAAACCACTGATTTTTGCATGGTGGTACATGCCTATAATCCTGGCTACTTGCTAAGATAGGAAGATTGCAGATTTGACTCCTGCCTGGGCCACATAGTGAAACTCTGTCCCAAGATTAAAAAATAAATAAAATGGGCTAGGGATGTAGCTCAGTGGTAGAGCACTTGCATACCGTGTGTGAGGCCCTGGGCTCAACTCCCAGTACTACAAAACAAACAAACCCAAAACTTCTAATGTCCAGACTTCCAGTAGCATCATCTGAGCTCCTGATTTGTGGGTCTTAGAGGTTGAAACAGTTGACCTATAGCAACCTGTCATTTGTCAGAATTTAAAGCCGCTGCTGCCACAGGTCGTTATTGAACAAGTACCTTCCGTAGATTTGGCCTGAGTTTGGGATTTGACCTATACCTCGGAAGTATTCATGCCTTCCACATGGGTGGTATCCAGGAAGTGTAGTTGTTTGCTGTTTTGCCAAAATTTGACTGATTTATAAGAATGAGGCTGGGTGTGGTAGTGCACACCTATAATCCTGGCACTGGTGAGTCTGTGGCAGGAGGGAGGCTGAAGCAGGAGGGCCCTGCAAGTTTAAGTCTAGTCTGGGGTATATAGTGAGTTCAAGGCCAATCTGAAGTACATAGTGAGACACTGTCTCAAAAAACAAAACAAAACAAAAAAATGTGCCTGGTTAACATAACTCAGTTTGGGATAACCTTCACTTTCTTATCCCTGTGGCTGGCGTTTCTGCTTGCAGTGATACTTATTCATGGCCTACAAACTGCATTTAAATGAAGATAAAAGATTTTGGCAAGCTTTGTTCCCTCCAGGAAGCCAGTGTCCTGTTGGGGTGCAGCCTGAGCCAAGTGTCCTGCATCCCTGCAGTCAAGTTACAGTGTGCAGGGCCTTTCTGTTTGCTGCAAGTGCAAATCTGCCGCGATCTGGGTCAGGCTGTCTCTCTGAATTAGTGTCTTGGTAGTGGAGCTGGGCATCAACCTTGTGGTAGTGGCACACGAGTGCTCCAAGGCTGATTCTGGGATGAGTGCTACCTTACATAAACAGTTTTGCCTCTTTGCAAAACCTGTCTGGAGCAGAACTACTTATCCAAGGGAGTTTCGAAAATAGCCTTATTCCCTAGTGATGGAACCTTTCAATCCAATGGCATAGACAGCCTTTCCTTCATTTACAGCATTGTGGCATGCCTAGCCTGAAGACTGCATTGTGTTCCTGGCTCTCTGCAGCCCAGGGAGGGAAAGACCAGAGGGGTATGGGCAGTTCTGCCAGTGGAAGAAAGCTGGTTCCTAAGGCCCTGGAGGGGAAAAAGAGGGTGGGGGGAACTGCTCTTCAGTGCCTGTCCTCTGATTTTGTTTTCTCCCTTTGATTCCTGACAGATTGGTACACAGAACAGCCTGGAACTTCTAGAAGATCCGAAAGCTGAGGTAGTTGATGAGATTGCTGCCAAACTTGGTCTAAGGAAGGTATGAAGTCTTCTTGTGAAACAGGGCCTTTTATGAGACACTCAAGCACTGTACTAGGAATATCTAGGTAGGCAGGGTACCCAGGCCTAGTCTGGAACCAATTCACCTGTACTTGGTGAGGCTCAGGCTTGACCCATATGGAGCCTCACTTGTGTTCATACGTGGCTTTGATGATCCTTTGACTGAGACTGAGATGAGACTACTTCATTAAGCATAAAACGTGGTACCAACCCAGGACCCATCATTTTTAAAACTGTCAGCTATACCACTTCTGACTAGGGATTCACCTTGTGTTGCTTGGTTTATTTTCTGTCCTATGCATGCAGTACTCTTGTGTTCCCTTATCTATCATCATTAGATTTCCTGTTTATAATTTAGGAGCCTGGAATCTTCTTAGTTTCTGGCTCAGTTAAAAGACAGGAGAGGCTGGAGATTTAGCTCAGTGATGCAGTGCCTGCCTGGCAAGTGTGAGGTCCTGAGTTCGATTCTTGGTAACAAAAAACGACAGAATTTTCTTTTAGTCCATTGATATGGTTTGTCTCAAACCCTTGATAAGGGTGCCAGTAACATTAGATTGATAGATTTTGTTGGTTGGTTGGTTGGTTTGTTTTGCTGAGGTAGGGTCTCTCAATATGTAGTTCAGGCTGGCATTGAACTCACATAAAGCCTAGGTCTTGAACTCTTCATAATCCTCCTGCCTCAGCCTACCAAGTGCTGGGATTATGGGGATGCATCATCACACTCAGCTCTAGATGGGTATGTATAGACAAATTGAATGAATTTGAACTGATAGAAATTCACTTTTAGTAGCTATGTAAATTTTGTTCTTTATTCCTAGTTGAGAAGTTGTCTGGATTATTTTATTCCTTTGCAGATAAAGGTGGCATGGGGAAAGGGGCTGGAAATGTGATTTAAAGCCCAGGAATATACTGAGTAAAGACAGTGCAGCCTGGGGATATAGTTCAGCGGCACAAGTGCCTGCTTGGCAAGCGCAGCATCCTGAGTTCGATTCCCAGTACCCAAAAAAAAAAAGAAAAAAAAATAGACAATGTAGTTTTACTGTATTAAGTAGAAAATATCTTAACAGTTTTTAACAGGAAGTGAGCATTTCAATGTAGGGTCACTTTTTTTTTTCATGAAACAAAACTTTAATCCCAACTTCATGTATTTGGTTTGGGTTTTTTTTGTTCGTTTTTTTTTGTCATTTTGGAGACAGGGTCTTGCTGTGTAGTTCAGGCTGGGCTTGAGCTCACTTTGTAGCCCAAGCTGGTCTCGAACACACAACGATCCTCCTGCCTCTCAGCCTCTCAAGTGCTGGGGTTACGGCATGTACCACCACGCCCGGCATCATGCATTTGGAAGTAGGAATCTCTGGGAGGTAAAAAGGACCAGATGAGATCAAGAGGATGAGGCCCTCATAATGCCATAAGTACCTTTGTAGGAGGAAGAGATCTAACCTAGCATTACTTGGCTCTGTCTCAACATGAGAGGCTGGCATCATGCTCTTGTATTCTGGCCTCCAGAATAAACCAAATACACCTCTCTTCTTTAATATGAACAATGCAGGGTCAATTTGGTTTTAGTTCTGAAGTTTTTTTGTTTACGTGAGAAGCTGGTCTAGTGTTTTGACCTACGTGTGTTACAACTTTCAGTTCATGGCATCATAACATAAAGTCTCAAAGTTATCCAAGTGCCTTTCATAAACTATCAGTTCCTTACCTGGGCCTCATTTTGGCTCTGCTTGATGTATGCCTAATTACCCCTGTACTGCTTGATGAGCCTGATCCTCCAGTCTCGCTATCTTTTCTGCCGACCTGCTTTAGCCTCTGTTGGCCTGGGGCATCTGGCTACAGTGAAAATCCTGAGTGTGCCTGGTGTTATCAGTGTAGGCCGTAGTGGAGAGGGCAGTGGTCAGCCATCACTGTTTGGGGATCCTTAGGGATAGAGGTGGACAACTATACCTGGCCTCTAGCACTGCTCAGACAGCCTCATCAATTCTGACTCAGGGAGTCAAAGCAGGCCTGAATCACAGAATAGCAGGTGCCCTGCGCAAGCCCTGAGACTGGCTTTTCAGGTGCCCCAGGGATGGGTCTTCAGGTTCTGTGACCTCAGACCTTTCTTCCCATCCCTGCAGTGGGGCTCTGAGTCAGTGGAATGAGGTTATTCTTTAAAATCTTAAGAGCTTTTCCCCAGGGAACTTTTTTTTTTAAACCTTGTCGAGAAAGACCTAGCATTGGAAACTTCTCCCCCCGGGCTTTTTGAGACAGGGTTTCCCTATGCAATTCAGACTGGCCTAGGGCTCACTTTGTAGCCCAGGATGGTCTTGAACTCTCAACGATCTTCCATCCTCAACCTCCCAGGTGCTGGGATTATAGGTGTGTACCACCACACCTGGCTTGGAAACATTTTAGTGTTTGCTTCCTTTCTCTCTTCTTTGTTATAAGTTCTCTTTCACCATACCTTGTTGGTTTCATTCACACTGTCCCTGTACTGTGCACAGCGTGGGCAGTTATGCTAAACAGAACTCTTTTTAATGGATAAATGGGCTCTGCATTTGGCCAACTCAGTAGCACCAGAGGGAGGAGGCCATTTTGTTACTGAGCCGGTGTGGCCTGGCACCTTTGTGAGGAGCTGCTCACGGGCTTGCAGGAAGGGCTGTCTGCCGGGACACTCTTTTCACATTCCTTGGGCAGAAACCAGGAACTGTCACCATCTGTTTTAGAGAGAAATTCAAAAGACACTTTCCTTTTTCGTTAAGGTTGGCTGGATATTCACAGACCTCGTCTCAGAAGATACCCGCAAGGGCACAGTCCGATACAGTCGAAATAAGGTGAGGCTGAGATAGGAGTGCTAGTGTGGTCCTGAGCCTGGCGTGAATCATGCTAACTTGTGGCTCAGGGTGCTGCACACCTCACATAAGCTTCCAGATCAAATTATTTTCACAACAGGCTTCTTAGTAAATTAGGGTTTGGTCTTGGTTCTGTCCTTAGAGCAAAGCCCCCTCATCTGTGCAGACCTGTGGGGGTGGATTCCCAGTTCTTCCAGCCTTCCTAGTCTGGGTGGTTTTAGAGGAGTCTGAAATGGCTAGGAATTATGTGTATTTGTTTTGACATAGTTCACCTTTTACTGTTTTCTAAAAAAATAAAAGTCTATTTGATATGATGCCATAAAATCTGATGTGCCGCCTCTCTCGTCATAGGACACTTATTTTCTGAGTTCAGAAGAGTGCATCACTGCAGGAGACTTCCAAAACAAGCACCCCAACATCTGTCGGCTCTCCCCTGATGGCCATTTCGGATCCAAGTTTGTTACTGCGGTGGCCACAGGTATAAACAGGGTAGAATAATGTAAATAGTACTGCCCTGCTAATATATCTTGTTCTTTCTAACAGCTTTTCATCTTAACTTAGTCGTAGTAGATTTTGTTAATGGACCTGTGGGAATAGTTCTCCTTTGGTCTTACGGTAAAAATTTTGAATTTACCAGCATTATCCTCACAACAGGACTTACTGTGGCTCACCTGTGGCCTGGTGCTTGCATCACAGATCCAGGTGAACTGACTTCTGGATCTGATCTCAGGACTACTGTGCGCTTTTCCTGCAACCAGATGTGATAGCTGTCTGTGTGAGGAGAGGGACCTAGTGTTTCCATAACCCACATATTGTTGGCATTATGAATGGGACTGTTAGCTGGCTATGGTATTGGATGCCTGTAACCCCAGTACTCGGGAGGCTGAGCAGGAGGATTGCCTGGAGTTCAAGGCTAGCCTGAAATACATAAGCAAGATCTTGTCTTAACCCTCTACCTCCCAAAAAGAATAGGGCTGTTGTTCTAAGAAACCATTTCTGTAAAGCTCTTTCGAGAACATATTCATATATTATGTTATGCGCATCCTAAAGATAGAATAGTGTATGTAAGAGATTGTGGTCTATAAAAATATGCCACCAAATCCTGAGATACTGTCCAGGAAGGATCCAGATGTAGGACTGTAGAATTAAAAGGAATAGAAATTTGAAATTTGGAGAATCAAATCATAAACGTAGTTTGTTTGGTCAGATTTTGTATTTTTCTTTCTTTTGGTTCTCTGATTGAATACAGGGCCTTATGCTTGTTAGCACAGGCTAGTACTATGCCACTAGCCCTATTTGATTACATTTTAAACTAAGCACTAGCCTTGATCATGTGCAGCCCTAGGCTCTGACCTTTACGGAGACAAGAGTCTAGTTTTACATTTTTCTTGGTACCCTTCTCCCGGTTCTATAACAGTACCCATATAAGACATGCCAGCTTAGAAGTAGCCTGTTTGTATATAAGGAACTTGATCTGATTTCCACTGCTGTAGAACCCTTGATTACTAAGCTTTCCACTGTCAGAATTTCTCAGCTGTGCTGTATGTTAGCAAGCTTGCAGTTTGTTGATTTAAGATCCTTTTGAATTGCTGGGGATTTAGCTCAGCGGTACAGTACTGAATTGACAGACGCCTTTAGTTTGGAGACAGGGTCTCCCTAAGTTGCCCAGGCTGGCCTCAAACTTGTGATCCTCCTGCCTCAGCCTTCCAAATGCTGAGGGTATAGGTCAGTGTGGGTTCAAGCCCCTTGGTTCAAGCCCCAGTACTGAAAAATCAAGACAAAAAACAAGAGCTGCTCTGACATTTTTCTCTAAATGAAAATCCTTTCCTCTGATAATAATAGTCGTGCTGGCTGCCTGCACACAGCTTTGACAAGGAAGCAGAGTACAACCCGACTGTCACATCAGAGGGGCATGGGAGGAGAGGCACACAGGAAAGTTGACTGTCTCTGTGTGCCAGTGCCTGGAGGCTGACTGATGAGTACAGAGTAGGGAGCAGGGCTGCTGTGTGGATGTGGCCTGCTGGCCCAGACATACAAGTTGTGGCTTCCCAAGATGCTCCTGGCTCTCATTCCTTCTGGACCAAGGGGTGTGCCTCTCCACGCTTTTGTAGTTCTGGAGGAGTCAGTTGTGTTGGAACTGTGGATATGTGTTCTGGCAACATTCATAAAGTAGCACTGTGACTCTGATCTTCCTAAACAGGGGTTTTTGCCTGCTTAAGTAGATAGGGGATATTGAAGATAACATGGGATATAGGTCACTTCTTGTGAGTGATGTATGTGTGGCTATAGATTATGAGCTATGTACATCCTAAATAAATAATAAGAAAATGTGGTCTCCCTACCCTTGGCAAGATGCCTGGCATATTCAACTCCACCCACGAAAGCTGGCAGTGCCCCATTATTGAGACAACCAGAAACACCTTCAAAGACTTCCAGAATTGCTGTTCTGGGCTCCCATGGTAACCCAGCCCTTCTAATTACTGTCTCCACAGGGAAATTGTCCCTTGGGCCAAAAGAACTAGCACATTTCTAAAATTATAAGTAGTTTCTAACTTGGGGACTGCTACCTTCAATTACTGAGTCACACCTCCTGTTGAGAGTTAGAAATCATATGGCTTCCCCATGAAGTCCCCTGCTTGGGAACCAGCACCTAGTGGAAGATTCCAGGACTAGAGGAAGATACTCCATCTGCAGTCAGCATCCTTGTGTGTCTGGGTGCTGGGTGGTTCTCTTGGTGCTTGGTCTTGTCATTGGCACCCTTCCCAAGGGGAACACTGGCTACAGCACTAACAAATAACAGAGCCTCTCTCTTTCTCTCTCTCTCTCTCTCTCTGTCTCTCTTTCTCTCTCTCTTTTTTTAAGATAGAATCTTGCTAAGTAGTTCAGGCTGGCCTGGACTCAAATGTATAACCCAGGCTAACCTTGAATTTACAGCAGTCCTCCTGCCTCAGCCTCCCAAGTTCTGGGATTACAAGTACGTGCCACCACACCTGGCTTTTTTTGTTTTTCTCAGACAAAGTCTTGTTATGTAGTTGAGTCTACTGGTGAACTGACTGTGAAGCCCAGGCTGGCCTCAAACTCACAGTGATTCACCTGCCTTAGCTTCATAAGTGCTGGGATTATAGGTGTGCACCACCACGCCTGACTAGAGGACTAATAGATTTTAATCTAAGATTTTAGTCACTATAGCTGGGACATAGATTTCCTAACTATAAGTATAGTTTGCCTTTTCCCTTTGTTAAGGTGCCTTGGCCAGGGGACAAGTAGGGACCCTGAAGAGCTGCTAGAAAATACACTTGCTGCAGTCCCTTTTTGGGCAGGAAGGCATGAGCTTGCATATTTGTTTGTGATGCCTCCCAGGAGCCAGAGCCTCTGCTGCTTGGGGTTTCCACAGGCAGCACCCAGAAAGACACTGCCTATGGTCCCCTTCTGCTCCCAGAATTACACACAGCCCTTCTGATGGTTTGTGCAGGTTTGCTTCAGTCAGCCAGGAGGAGTTTGTGGAATGACAGCACATTACAGAGCCTGAGTCGTAACTTCACACTGATGTTGTCTGTGGGACTTCAGTCCTCACACAAAGCTCCTTGGCTGTGAAAATTCCTTACTGAGGATCAGATTTCAAAAGACAAAAATGGACCTGATACTCAGCTGCAGTTCACTTTTCTGACACTGCCCCTTTCTTGGTGCTGTAGTGCATCCCTGGGTAGTTCTGGACAGGCTCCTCTGTCTGCACAGGGAGCGATCACACTTTTTTTTTGTGGGTACTGGGAATTGAACTCAGGACCTTGTGCTTGCCAGGCAGGTCCTGTGCTGCTGAGCTACATCCCTGGCCCTCTTTTTTTTTTTTTTTTTTTAAATATTTATTTGGTTGGTTGGTTGGTTGGTTTTTTATTTATTTATTTTATTTTTGGGTATCAGGAATTGAACTCAGGACCTTGTACTTGCCATGCAGGCACTTATGCCACTGAGCTATATTCCCAGCCAGGGAGTGATTGCAAATGGTGATGTACACTCCTTGCTGCTCCACACGGGAGGGAGAGAACTGTTTGCAGTTCATTTTGGCTAATTGCCTTTGGAGATTACCTGTCTGGAAGAATGTTGCTTTTTCAACAGTCTTCAATTTTATAAACACTACATTTCATTTTTCTCTCATCCTCAAAGGTCAGTCTTTTCTTTCTGTAATGATTGATCACACCTTAATGATAGATCTAAATACCACTGTGGGTTTACTGTGCTCAGAGTGAAACACGAGCAGGTGTGTGCATGGTGACTCATCTGACACCTCCAACCGGTGAACTCAAGTTGTGCTGCGATGTCCATGCACTGGGCCATACTGGAGCTGAGCCTGTGTGCTGCTGAGGTATGGTTGGTCACCAGAGTTAGGGCCAGAGTGAAAGTACTAGACACAGCAGATGGAACCTTTGGAGCAAGTTTGACTTAGTATTTTGCAAGCAGCTGCAGTCTGCTTCCTGAGTGCAGAGTAGGCAGCAGCCTGCTTTGCCCATTTAGGGCTGGCTTTGCCCCTTTTGGTCCCCTTTTCAGATTTCTGGTAATTAGATGTGGTTTCTGGTATGTGTTTGAAAGCCAGACGGACTGACCTTATGATGCCAAATCAGTAAATTATTCTGTTTTTGTCAGACGGAAAGACAGATACTGAGAGTTTTTTACTCTAGAAGTATAAAAATGGACCTTGGAGGTGTCATAGTATAACCTTGACTCTAGTGATGTCTGCTCCATAGCCTCAAGTGCCCTCTCAATTTAAGGATCTGGCATAACTGGTAGAATGCTCCCTCTTGCAGCTGTTTATATGACCCAGGTCCCTGACTTCAAGGTTTTTATAAAGTGGAACTTGGAGAGGGGAAGAGGGAGATCCTAGAGGGCGTTGCACAAGTATGAGTGGGGACTGTAAAGTGATGCCAGCTGGGGTCTACATGTCACCTTGGCTCTGTTATGGTGCCCACACCTCCTCATGTGTGAGGTGATACCTAGGGCCTAGACCTGATGTGATCATGTTTTTGTAAGGTAGATTCTGTCATGTGTGTGATATGACTGCTAGGACTGTTTTTGCTGAACATTGTTTGTGTCTTGTTCTCCCACACTTGGTACCCCTGCTTGTCTCCAGGCAAATTTATCCCTGTCCACATCCTGTTTACTCAAGTGCCAAAGAATGTGGAATACAGGGTCCTGTCTGTTCTTTACACCCTGATGGTGTTAAAATTTAAGAACCTGAATGCTTGATGGCACTAAGTATGGCTTCAGCTGGTGTTGGAGAATGTGTGACGCTGGATTCCCAACTCTGACAGACATGTAATGGGTGACGCCTGTGTCAGATGCAGGTGGCTGTGGAGGGGAAATCAGCAGTCAGACACTTATGTCCAAGGCCATGTGCTCCAGCCACCTTGCAGATTACCCAAGGCAGACTCTCGAGTGTTTGCTTCTTGTTGATCAGAAGGTGGGTTATAGACATAGACCAGTTCTGAGTGTCCTTTGGTAGATTCTCTTTGAAGGTCTCTCTTTTTTGCAGGTGGTCCCGACAACCAGGTTCACTTTGAAGGGTACCAAGTGTCCAATCAGTGTATGGCACTAGTCCGCGATGAATGTCTGCTGCCATGTAAGGACGCCCCTGAGCTTGGCTACGCCAAGGAATCCAGCAGTGAGCAGTATGTGCCTGATGTGTTTTATAAGGTAAAAAATACAGTGGTATGAAAAAAATTGAGTCTACACAGGGCAGTGTGAACCTGTCTTGGCCTCTCCTAATCTTGGTGCATTCTGGCTTTATGAGCTGTCTGCCTGCTATGGTGGTTTAGTCCCTCTGTGGATGGATCCATCTGACTCCTTTCTGGGGCTATTATTAGCTATTCAGACTTCTTTGGTATTGGGGTCTAAACTAGTAGTAGAACTACAATATATTCGCTGTGGGATACATGATACCAAATTAGGCCACTGTAATCAGACAGTTTTTACTTTCTAAAGATGAAAAGATTGCTGGCTGTGGTGACTTATGCCTGTGTTCCAGCACTTGGAGGCTGAGGCAGGAGGATCGTCACGAGTTTGAGGCCAGTCTGGGCTCCATAGTGAATTCAGGGCCAGCCTGAACTATGTAATGAGTCTGTGTCTCAAAAGAAAAAAGAAAGAGAAGACTATGAGAGATGTTTGGGACTGTGTTTTTAGTTTGTTTGTTTTTGTTTTTTTGAGACAGGGTTTTACTATATGGTTCAGGCTGGCCTTGAACTCACTATGTAGCCCAGACTGGCCTCAAACTCATGGCAATCCTCCTGCTGTGGCCCCCTGAGTGCTGGGACTATAGTTGTGGGCTACCATGCCTGGCCTGGTACTGCTTTAGAATTCTGCCTACAAACAGCCATTCGATTCTGTTTGTTTGTTCCTTCTCCTTTAGGGACTCTCATTGTACATACGTTTGGCTGCATGAAGCTGTCCTACAATTCACTGTATTTGTTTTATGTCAGGTTTTTTTTCCTTGTGTTTCATTTTGGATAATTTCTGTTTTTCCTTCAGTCATTCATCTTTGTGTCTGCAGTGTCTGATCTGTCTGATCTGCTTTTCATCTAGAATATCATCTCCCTCAGACATTGTAGTTTTCATTGCTAGAAGTTTACCTTATCATTTTTATGTTTCCACTTACTTCCCTAAATGTAGAAGATACAGTTGTAATGACTGGTCCAATGTCTTTATCCACAAATTCTGTCACCTGGCATTTTGGTAGACGTGTTAACTGATCTTTGTCAGGTGTACATTGTACTCGGGATTGTGTTCTGGTCCATGTGTCTACTCTTTGGCCCTTGTTAGTATGTCCTGTGGACCTCTGTCTTTCCTTTTCACAGGGGTGATTGTTGCGTGCTGTTCCTTGTATGCTAAGAAGCCAGAGATTCCGAGGCCCCTCTGTTAGGTTGGGCTTTCCTTTGCTCTGGTGGGAAAGTGCAGTGGTGGCAGTCCATATCCATCTGTGTAGCAAGTAGATGATTCTATCTGATATGCATTTTAGCAGGACCTAGCCAGTCTACATTGCTTTTTCCCCATCTCTGGAATGGGGTCCTCCCAGGGTTTCCACTGAGAGCCTGTGGCAGTGTTTGTAAAGAGGAAGCCCACAAAGGCTTTGTGTTCTTGGCCTGGAAAGATAGTTGGAGGGACCATCTATCTGATGGTCAGAAGTTTTTGATTTGGCTCCTGCCTCATGCAGCTCAAATAGGTGGACATCCTGCCTTGGGCACCCTAAAGTATTGCTGACATCTCACAGATTGGCTGGGTGTTTAAAATCCCTATGTCTCCAGCCTTGTTCCTCTAGCCCATGTGCACCCAGTGTCTGCCAGACCCTCCTCTCCTTTGGGACCCTGCAAAAGGAAGGAGAGGGCTTTGGTGTCAGTATCACTGGAACCTCCCTCCCCAGCTGGGGTGCTTTCTTAGCCCCTTCCCCTCTGAAGGTCTTTATCACCTGAGCCTTTGAGATCACAGGTGCTTGCACTGTGCCCTCTGTTGCCTGGGTAAACTAGGCTAACACTATGACCCTTCCAGTGCCTCCCTCCAGTTCTTTGCCATTCAGAATATCAATTGTTTGAGCACCATTTATGAGGAAGCTCTCTTTCTGTCAGTCTAGGTGCCTCTCCTCACTGGTGTATCACAGCTGTGTCTATGGACCCTATTCTGTTCAACTGGCCAGTTTTCCTCTACCAGAATCAGCATTGTCCTGTCTTGATGACTGGCTCTTTGGTTACTCTGCAGACCTAATCCTGCTGCCCCTCTTCGCTTCTCTGCAGCAGACTCAGCCTGAGTGTGAGAATCAGTCTTTCAGGTGGCACCAAAACAGATGGGTCTCCTTGGGGTTTCACTGGGTTTCACTGGCCCCCTAGATGTGGTGAAGGGCTGCACTTGCATTTTCTGATGTCTTCTAGAAGGCTTTAGGGTTTCTTTGTGAAAGTCTTGCCCCTTGTTTGTTAGATTATTCCTAGGTACTGTGTGTGTGTGTGTGTGTGTGTGTGTGTGTGTGAGAGAGAGAGAGAGAGAGAGAGAGAGAGAGAGGGAGGGAGGGAGGGAGAGAGGGAGGCAGAGATAATATTGGAGATTGATCCTAGAGCCTTCACACTAGCTATGACCCCAGCCCACGTATGTATGTATATCTTTTTTTTTTTTTTTAACTTTGGGACAGTCTAATTAAATTAGCCTCAAATTCATGATTCTCCTGCCTCAGCCTCCCAGAGTGCTGGGATTATAGGCATGTGCCACCACCTGGCAATGTATATATATTTTTTTAATAGTGTTCCTGGCAGGAAATGTGCTTTTTTCTGTATCTCATTGTACATTTCTTGCACTTAAGAACTGAACTCAAAGCCAGGTGTGGTGGTGCATGCCTGTAACTCCAGCACTTGGGAGGCTGAGACAGGAGGATCGCTGTGAGTTCGAGGCCCTCCTGGGCTACAAAGTGAGCTCAAGGTCAGCCTGAACTGCATAGTGAAACCCTGTCTCAGAAAAGCAAAAAATAACAAAAAAACCAGGGCTGGGGATACAGCTCAGCGGTACAAGTGCCTGCCTGGCAAGTGCAGGGTCCCAAGTTTGATTCCTGGTAACCACCACCACCCGCCCCCCCCCGCAAAAAAAAAGGCAAAAGAAAACAAACAAACAAACAAAAAAACTGAATTCCTCTGTTTTTTTTTTTTTTTTGGTTTTTCTCCGGTACTGGGAACTGAACTCACAACCTTGTGCTTTCCAGGCAGGCGCTTTGCCGCTGAGCTAAATCCCCAGCCCCTCCTCTGTTGTAAAATGTGTAGTATTTCTATAATCATGCTGTTGCTTTCATGGACTGCTTATTTGTCCTCTTAGTAAAAACAGTCAGGAAGTGTGTACCAAATTGTTTATAACTGTATAGGATTTGACGCTTGTCAAATTGTGTCATGTTTTAGGACAATATCAATCTGAGCAAAAAAAGCTATAAAAGCAAACAAATATTTAAGTAATCCTTTTAGTCTTCCTTGGGCGGGTGATACAGCTCAGCGGCACAGTGCCTGGCTGGCAAGTGCAAGGTGCTGAGTTCGATTCCCAGTACCAAAAAAAAAAAAAAAAAAACTAGGGGAATGCAGTGTGTGTCTTGGCTACTGGGATGTGCTATGTTTCTTGGGCTTCCTTTTAGTCTGCCTATGGACTTTTGTGGTTGAATTTAAAATCTGCCCATAAATGAAACCTGCACCAATATTTACTTGACACTGTTGTTCATCGTGGTGTCATCTGCTGGTCATAAAATTGGAGACAGTCTGGCAGTCCAGTCACAGGGGATGTTAAATTATTGTGCATCTGCACAACAAAGTCTTGGGTGATCACTGAAGGCCTGGTTTAGCCAGTCAGTTACTTAGAGATGTGGGGTTCAGCTCAGAGTATGAAATTTAACAGTGCACCTTTGGAATATAACCTCAATTTACCTTGTGTATTGAAGATATGCATGTGTGTATATGTGTGCACACACACATTTCCATGTGGATTTGTGTGGGGGAGGGACATGGAAAGCCTGCATATACAGGGGAACGTGCTCTTGTACAACCCTGCTCTCTGTCCTGTGCAGTCAGGGAAGCGGAGAGGAACCTTGTTAGAGGAGGAGTGGTGAGCACAGAAACACCTGGCGCTGAGGGAAACAGGAAGGCCTATATGTACACTACTCTGTGTGTGCTCTCAGAGAGCCGAGGCTGTCCATGGAACAAGTGTGGAGGAAGAGCCCTCCCCGAGGAGTTAAGGGCTGCTGCCAATTATATCCCAGACATTCAGGTGGAGGGTGGAAGCTTCCCCTTTTGTCTTTGTGTGCTACCTTCCTTCCTTTGAGTGTCCTCTTGCCATTGGGAACTGGCTGTGCATTTTCATTATGGATACTTGGTCTCTGCAGAAAAATCAGAGAAGATCATATTTGCTGATAATCACCATTTGCATTTATCATAATCCCTTTCATTTCCTGTTCTGTTCTTTTGAGACAGGGTCTTGCTCTGTAGTTTAGGCTGGCTTGGAACTCAGCATGTAGCCCAGGCTGGCCTCAAACTGGTAGTAATCTTCCTGCCTCAGCCTCCCAAGTGCTAGGATTACAGGCATGTGTCACAATGCCCAGCTTCTTTTGAATAAAGAGAAAGAATTATATTTATGCAGAATGATAAATAGCCAAATCACAATGAATTCAGTTAGTGTGTTGATGCTGCTTCAATGTTTCTGGGGTTTTTTTTGGTACCGGGAATTGAACTCAGGACCTTACGCTTGCCAGGCAGGCGCTTATGCCACTGAGCTATATCCCTGGCCCAATGTTTCTGGTTATTGTTAATAACTATCTACTCTCATAGTCTTATACCATCAGAGTGAAATTGCTAGACAAGAAGCTTTTATGTTTTTTGTTTCTCTTTACTTTTCTTTCAGTTTTTTTTTTTTTTTTAAAGGATTGAACCATGGACTTTGAGGTACTGAGCTATACCTATTAGCCTTTTTATTTTTTTTGACGTAGGGTCTTGCAAAGTTGCCCAGACTTGCCTTGAATTTGCAGTCCTCCTACCTCAGCCTTCTGAGTGCTGGGATTATAGGTGCATACCACCATGTCTAGCTTAATTTATATATTAATATACTTTTTAGATTTTTATTTATTTTTAGTATATTTGTATACTTTATCTTAGCCAAACGACTGAAAAGCACAATTTTTTTTTATTAGGAAG